GTGTCCAGTGATCTGACTTACAATACTGAATTCTGGAATGAAGCATATCCTGTTCAAGTACAGCTGAATCTCTTATTATTATAGCATTAGTTCTGCAAACAGCCCCATCTAACCTGAGCCACACTCCTTGCAGCTGCAGCATTCATTATAACTGTATGTACCCATTCTGGAGCACAAATCTGGAGAGCAAAGCACAACTTGACTTGTAACATGCCTGCTTTCAACAGCATTGTCTTTAACTATTTCCAACACTGTTTTCCAACTGAGAAACGGAAAATTGTCTGAGAAGGATGGTATGTAAACTTTATCCATATATTAATCTACTATCTACAACAGGAAAGAGTATTGGGCAGACTAAGAAACTGTAACCGGATGTAATTCATTCTGGGGACAACTAATACAGATAACTTCAGGACAAATACAGGACTTTGACCTGGTTTCCTCAAAATCTGCATTGTCATACTAAATAATGCTTAAAGTTTCTGTCAGATTTTAATCAAATAGTGTGAAAACATTCTGAAATCTATCTTTAAGAGCATTTGGGACAAAGAAAAGATACATTTATTTGTAAGTACTCTTGCAACTCAATATAGTTGTAATTCTTTTAAATTCACATGCTGTGTTCTCTTACAGATTATCACACAACATGTACCTGTAAACCCTTCACTGTAAGAACCTTTCAATGTGAATCACTCTAAACCTTTGACCTTATCACATTTTACCACTCTTACCCATCCCATCCTTAATTCACTGCTTTTCAAGCTCTTCCTTTTGCTAACATTTGACACATTAAAGCTTAGCTGGCCATCACAGCGCTCATCCATTTCTGCCATACTTGTCTGAGATGTTTGTGCATGTGTATTAGATTGAGATTTCTCTCTCCATGAAGGACATCATAATTGTCTCCCAGGTAGTCTTGTACCTTGTACTTGCAGTGCCTTCCAGCATCTGCAGTGCATTGTCATTCTTCTTTCAAGAAAACAATTTTCTAGTGAATTAAGCAACTTTCTTTTGGAGTCTGGTTGCTAGTCCAGCTTTGGATGTGGATTCACTGCAATCTACTTTATATAGTCTCAACAACAGTCAGATTTAAGAAGAATATCAAAGCCATATATCACTAAAATTATTTGATGTGTAAACTCAAACATAAACTCAGAGTGGCACTCAAGCTGGCAAACAAGGGATCCACTCCAGCCAGGTACCAGGCAGCAGCATGTTTATCAAGAAGAGCTCTGTTCTTTGACTCTTCCCTCATGTCCCACACACTCTCTCTTCCATTCAGCTGCTTGAGGAAGATCATGAACTCATTCTGTACCTACCCAGCATTTAATTCTGTAGGAAGCACACTGTATACTCTTTCTATCCTGGTTGCTAATTAGAGACATGCATGTAAACTTGTGTTTTTTTTGTTTGTTTTTTTTTTCTCTTTTAATTAGGAAAAGGGAAATGCATTAGAAAACTTCTTGAATCAAACTTTTTTTTTTAATATCAGTCTGCTTTTGTTTCATTCTCTCTCACCAAAAAGCTGCTTTGTTAAGTATGCACATTGCTGTTCTGTAGTGGTCCAAGTAATAATAGGGTGATGATAGCTGAAATAACTCTCTCTATGCTTCATTTTATTATGATATGATTAAATCCAAACCTTTTCAGTGAGATAATCACATAAGATGAAACAGAAAGACATAAGGAAAAAGAGATAAGTGAGATCTCAAATTGTTTAACATAAAATCTCAATGCCTCTTTTTGCCAAAGCCCATTTCAGAAACTGATTTCATGTAATAAAGAATTGTATACAAAAGATTTCTGGCCTCAGGTCAGACTAGCCATGGGATACAACATGAATTCCTATTCTTCCTCGCCATATCTTGGAGATATCCCACAAACTGCCTTGACTATGAAAACAAGATACACTGCTGCTGTAGAAATCAAGTTAGGATCATACCAGGCACATTAACCAGTGGATATTAAGTAGATGAACTGGCAGATGGAGAGGGAAGGCTCTTATCTGCAATGGTACAGAATATCTGTGGGGCATTTATGATCTTTAAAATATAGCCAGTATTTTCCTTGTTTGCAAAAATCTTTAGAGTCCTCAAGTAGAAACGGCTTGCTCCACTGGAACTTCTGCTGCCAGCCTGAATTCAGCAAGTGCACAGAATGCTATGGCAAAACACAGCTAATTGTCTCAAAGTGAAAACTTAGAGCTTGTTTGTTTTCACACCTTAAGTTAGAATATCTAGTAGCTATTATTCAGCAGATCTTGGACATGGAGATATATTAGTACCTTGTTAAAGACAGGAAGTATTACCAAGAATGCATTTCTAGGTTATAAGGAAGAAGGAGAATTAGACATATTTCTGTCCCTGCAAGTATCAGCAGAAATAAAAGGGTTATCTGTGGTAGTTTGTGGGTTTTAATATATAAATGTTTTGATGGCTTATTACATTATAACCTTCCAGGTGCTTGCACAACCCTTTCCCTAGCTAGTATAGAGCAAAACAAGAAGTAGATTTTTCATGTGTACTTCATTCTATAATCTGGAAGTTTACTTTGAGTTGCCGCAAAGGCATTGATTTCTCTAATGGAAGTTTACAGACTTTATGCTAAGCTGTTATTAGGTAAAATAGATTAATTTTAACTTAAAATCTAAGAGCTAATGTTAGAAGTGCTAAAATCCATCAGAAAGCCAGGATACGCATCTATGAGCATCACCATAAAGAGAAAAAGATTTTCTGAGTACAGAGGTTTATACAAGAATAAGCCTGGGGATTCCTAAGCAGGAAAGCTGAAGCTGCTTTTGTTTAGTGTTTGTTAGTATTCAGGGAATTGCTTCTCTGTGTTTCCTTTACTTCACTCTCTTTTACTCCCCCAAACTCCTTCTTTCAAAGAAATAGTCTGACTACCTTCTGATGTCTTCTTGTGTATAATATAAACTATTCTAGCAGGGTGTGAAGTAGTGGCTAACTTCTTGGTACATCGAGTAACAGTACTAAACTGACAGTTTCTTACAGAAACTACTTTACAAGTAATTAGCCAGGCAGAAAAAATCAGGAAATTGGCTTGAAAATAATGCAAGAACATTTTGTTTGCTTCAAAACCAGATGATGGTGCTTTCTTGTCATTCAGCCTATCCGTCTAACTTAGGCCTTTCTTGTTTCTGCTTTTTCATTTTTTCTCAAGTGGTCAAGGACTAGAAGGTATTATTTTATGAGTGCCATGGAGCTTTTTAGTCTGATAGCTATAGTAATTCTCCTTATACTGAGATTTAGTTGAAAGGATGATTGCAGAAGGAAGGTGTTAGCAAATGAACATTATTTATCGTTTGTTGATGATACTAAATTGAGTGGTACAGTTGATACACTAGAGGGAAGAGATGTCATCCAGCGGGACCTTGACAGGCTTGAGAAGTGGGTCCAGGTGAATCTCATGATGCTCAACAAGGCCAGTTTAAAGGACCTGAACCTCAGGGAAATCCAGAGTACCAATATAGACTAGATAATTAATGGCTTGTGAGTCATCCTGCAGGGAAGGACTTGGATATTGGTCAATGAAAAATTATACATGAACTGGCAATGTGCGTTTGAAGTTCAGAGGGCCAGCTGTATTGTGGAGTCCATAAAAGGAAATGACTAGCAGGTCAGAAGACTTGATCCTCCTCATCTACTCCATCCTTGTGAGACCACATCTGGTGTACTGTATCCTCATCTGGGGTGCCCAGCACAAGAAGGACATGCAGCTGCTAGAGTGGGTCCAGAAGACAGCCACAAAAATGATCAGAGGATAAAACACCTCTCCTATGAAGAAAGGCTGAGAGCTGGAATTATTCAGCCTGAGAAAATGTCTGGGGAAACCTAATTCTGGTCTTTGAATACTTAAAGCAGGCTTATAAGAGAGATGGTGAAGGGCATTTTACTAGGGCCTGTAGTGATAAACAAGAGACGATACTTTTAAACTTTAAAGAAAGTAAATTGAGATTAGATTTAAGGAATAATTTTCTTACTATGTGGGTGGTAGGACACTGGAATAGGTTGATCAAAAAAGAGTTCAGGGTCACATTACATGGGGCCTTAAACAACCTGATGTGGTGAAAATGTCCTTGCCCATGACAGCAGAGTTGAAACTGGATGGGGAACAACGTGATTGTTATTTGACCTTGATGATGGGGAAGGTTTTGGAGCCAATCACCTTGAGTGCCACCACATGACATGTACAGGACAACCGGGTGATCAGGCCCAGTCAGCATGGCTTTATGAAAAGCAGGTCATGCTTGACTAACCTGATCTCCTATGGCAAGGTGATCTGTGTAGTACTAAGGGAAAGGCTTAGAATGATGATTACCTAGACTTTGGTAAAACCTTTGACACCGTTTCCCACAACACTGAATTAGAGAAACTGGATGCTTTTGGCTTGGATGGGTGTACTTTTTACTGGCAAAAAAATGTCTGGATGGCCAAGCCCAAAGAATGGTAGTAAATGGACTTAAATCCACTTGGTGGCTGGTTACAAGTGGTGTTCCCCAGGGCTCAGTATTGGGGAATGTTTTTTTCTTTTTCATAAAAATATTAAACAGTTCTGTTTAATATCTTTATAACATCTGATATCTTTTTAATATCTGTATCTGAATGAGGGGACTGAGTGCACCCTCAGTAAATTTGCACATGACACCAAGCAAGAGTATTGATGTGCTTGGTGGTAGGAAGGCTCTACAGAGGGATTTGGACAGGCTGGATCAATATGCCAAGGCTGATTGTATGAGGTTCCACAAGGCCAGGTATTGGGTCCTGCACTTGGGTCACAATGACCCCATGCAACACTACAGGCTTGGCCAAGAGTGACTGGAAAGCTACTCAGCAGAAAAGGACCTGGGGGTGTAGGTCAACAGCCAGCTAACCATGAGTCGATTTGTGTCCAGGCAGCCAGGGACAACAACATCCTGGCATGTATCAGAAATAGTGTGGCCAGCAGGACTAAGGCAGTGATCGTCCCCCTGTACTTGGCGCTGGTGAGGCTGCACATTGAACACTGTGTCCAGTTTTGGACCCTTCACTACAAGAAAAACATTGAGGTGTTGGAGCACATCCAAAGAAGGGCAGTGAAGCTGGTAAAGTATTTAGACACTAAGTCTTCTGAGGAGCAGCTGGTATTGTTTAGCCTGGACAAAAAAAACAGCTGAGACCTTAGCTCTTTATAACTACCTGAAATGAGGTTGTAGTGACAAGAGAGTTTGTAGATATTAGGAAAAATTACTTCACCAAAACTGTGATCAAACATTGAAACAGACTGCCCAGGAAAGTCATGGAGTCACCACCCCTGAGGTATTTGAAAGATGTGTAGATGTGGCACTTAGGGACATATTTCATTGGTGGACTTGGCAGTGTTAGCTTAACTGTTGGATTGTGATCTTAAGAGTTGTTTCTAAACTAAACAATTCTATAATCTTTAGAGGTTCCTTCCAACCTAAACCATTCTAGGATTCTGTTTCAAATCCTGTATGGGCTGAGAGACTTCAAGAATCTTGATAAATCCTCCTTCTGTAGTACTTCACAGTATAATGTTAAATACACTAATAATTTATGTTGTGCCTCTAGACTAGAAGCCTTCAAACTCTTATTTCATCAATACATAGTGAGTATACATTTGTATAGGATTTCAGTGTTCTTCAAGAATAAGTATTTAAGCATACAAAGGTGTTAGAAAAAAATTAGAAAAAAATCATCCATACTAATTATTTGACTCTGCTGTGTTGAAGATGAGAAGTTATAAGCAAAACAGTATTTCTGACTTGACTATCATATCAAATTCATACCCCAAACTTTGATTTTTTTTCTTTGCTATGACGCCTTTCCCAGCAAATATACACTGTGGTATTAAAAAGTATATTATTTAAGGCATGTATATAATGTACTCCTTAGTACATGTTGTTATTTTACTACATTTCCGTAAATGGGAAAAAGGATGGACTTTTTCTTACATATTGGGGTTTGAATTAAGACATCTTGGATTCAATTTCTACCTGCATTTCAAGCTCAAATTTAAGTTAGTTAATATATACTTTCTGGATGTATGCTGATTTCCATTTGCTAGCTGATTAGATACCACAGACACCTCAATATGAATTTACATCAGCACAGGTATTTCTTTCTCACCCTGGGAAGTTCTCAGCTAACACTGACTATATGAGCACTAAGGGAGCAGTGAGAGCCATCAGGCTAATGTGGAGTGTGAATAGGTGTTTTCTATTCAGATTGAAGAGGTGTCCCTGGATGTGATTCAGAAAACACTCAGAAGTTAAAAGTCTTGAAAAAGTGTCTCTTGCTTGATGAACTCCTGTAAGAGCTATATTATTTTGACATTGATTAGTAAAAAGCATCTTTATTGAACTGTGTGTGAAATTGTTCTCTGACAGCAAATTGAGTACATTCCAGAATTTGCTTTCCTGCCAGCAAAATAAAGTAATAATTAACTTCCTGTTACATTTTTTTTTTTACACGTCTGAGTCATGAGCCCAATTTCACGTTTCTTTGCTACTTCAAAATAGCACTCTCACTGACATGTACCCACCCTTCTAGCTAGCTTAGAATCTTATATTTCCCACTTGCTCAGTATACGTCTTCCATTTACTTTATTCACATTATTCTGTTCATTTGCTCTTTTGCAGAAAGAGGAATAAACTCCCAGGGAGAGTTCAGCAGTATATAACAGCTGTGAATATGTTCTGCTGCTGATGACAAAAAACCACAGTTCACCTGACAGTTTTAGAGGTGTGTTTTGTTGACCTTTTTTCAGCAATTGTTGAATCAATGCTAGCAATCAGGTGAAGCCACGTTAGGTAGTTCTGGAGTGTTTCAGAAGCCTAAATGTTTTTGACCATGGATGGAGCACCGGAAGGAGAGAGATATAGCCAATGTCAGCAAGAGTAAGAAAGGTTAAATGAGACAGACCCAAATAAAAATACTGGGCATGTCAGTCATGATCCTTCAGTGAAAGGTGAAAAAAATCAGCTTAAGCTGATTTAGGTTTAAGTTGGAGAAAAATTCTTACCTGATCCCAAACTACTGATCAGGTTTTGCTTTAACAGGGCAGTGTGAGAAATATGACTGCAGTCCTATGCGTCAGATATTTTTCAGACATCGGAGCACTTACATGTCATTTGGTGGTCTTACATCTAGCTGTGCCAAACACCAGGTGCTTCAGAAGAAGGTAAAAACTCCTTTTTCTGATGCACTCCTACACATTTGAAGAAGTCAACATGACTATTCTAAATGTAGATGATGTGAAGAATAACTTTCCTGGTTCTTGCAGAAGCAGCTGAAATCTTGGAGTGTAACTTGCAAATGCTTTTTCCTTTTACATACCAAGAAGTCCAGTTTTCCTTTCCTGACATGGAATGAGTGGGTAAACGATAAAAATAACATAATTTTGTCATTAGTTGTTCCAGATCACACTTTGCTAAATTCCATGAGTCAGCATGGGAGTATTTGATGCTTAACAGCACAGTAAGGATTAATAAATTTCCTCACAGCCAGAGTGATAGACTTAGGTACTGTTCTTATTTTATTGCCCACTGCACTCACAAAAAAGAAGCTAAAAACTGCACCCTCTACTCATGAGGCAAGGAATCTAGTGACAACGGAAATGGAAAAGGATGAGATGCTGATTGATTTCTTTGCCTCCATTTTTTAGGTAAATGTGTACTCTCAGGCTGCTGGGTCAGCAAGCCTTGTGACAGTGGCTGTGGGAATGAAACACCCCCCAGAGCAGATGGAGTACTTAATCAAATAAAACATACATATATGGGAGTAAACGTGGTGCTGACAGAGCTCACCAAGGTGGCTGTGAGGTTGCTGCCACTTAAAAATGATGGGATGTAACAGGTAGAAAAATGCAAACATCACATCCTTCTCAAGACAGGCAAAGAAGGAGGCCAAGAAAATGATGAGACAGTAAAGTTTTACCCTGGATGCTTTTCAGTTCACACATTACCTGATGCAGGACTAAATGACTTCCTGACCGGTGATACCCCTCCTACATAGAAGGTAGGTCTGTGTGTGAGAATTAAGGCACATGCACATATTCTTTTTCACTCAAAATGAAACTCAAATAAATTAAGCCATGTGTGGTCTGCTGAGAATATACTTGTTCTGTAACTACAAAGAGTCTTGTTTTCTGAGTTGTATTCGTATCATGACTCTATTCTTCTTTGGGAAGCAGGGGAGATAGCAGGTTACTGCTAAGCAGCAGCTGTCATCAGAAAGCTGTATGTGTCATGCGGCAGTGGATTAAGTGCCACTGAAGTACTTCGCTTCCAAAGCCTTTCTGTCTGTTATCAGTTGAAATGATTTATACCCCCAGTATTCAGCCCAATGTGTATATCCATTTTCCTCTTTCCACCCATCCCTATGGCCTGTGATGTCTGGTGAGTTTAAGGCTATCTATATTTCTCAGTGTTTGAGAGAAGCCTAGCCCTACAGTCACAGTGCTAAAGTAAAAGTCTACATGTGACTGACCTACTCCTGACAAATACTATCTACAGTCTTAGCATTAATGATGGTGCCTGTTTAGAAAAACAAAGCTGTATTAATATCCCTTTAATCCTTGCCATCATTTCCCACAGGGAATTTCTTTTTTTTTTTTTTCTCACAGAAAATTATTATGGCCAACTCTAGAAATACCTGTTGCAGAAAACACTTTTGAGAATTTTTTTTTTCTGACTGAGAAAGTTATTTCAATGACTGAGATTTTTAATTCCATTTCTATGGGCACATCTAAACAATGAAATTAACACTGATGCAAAATATTTTGATATTTGAAGTGTTTTCAAAAATGCAGTTTCTTGAGAAGGGTAAGACAAGTCCAGTAGCTATTTGGGTAGTGCTGAATAAACACAAAATACCGTTAACTTTTACTGGGACTGAAGAAATCAGGCTCAGATAAGACAGAACACCACTGCTGGTTCTTTATGTTGGCTGAGTAGGAGGCGGTTTAGATTCAAAGGCTTTTCACTGAAATTGGAATAGCATCCACAAAAAAAAGAGAACTCTTTCCTTTTAGCAAGGCCATATAATCCAGAGTACAAGCAAAATAATATTGTCTCCATTTGCATGCATGTCAGAAAGCCTTTCAAACTGTTCTTAGGTGTTTGGAAAGTTTGATTGTGGGAATGTAAAATAATGATTCTTTTTTTTTTTTTTTGGTGGTGGTTCTTTCTTGAAGTGGTACACTTTGATTAAGAAACGATGTTATCTGTGCATATGTACAGCAACTATTGTGTTTGGATTCTGTGCTTATGCTGAAGAAACAACTAATTAAAAAAAAAAAAATCAATGGGCAGGCTACACCTATCTGAATATTTAATATGTTGGTTTAGATCTAAGAGAAAAAAGTTGTGTAATCTTCATCGTGAAACATACATTTTGGACTCTCCATGTAGAAAGTGGCCTTTACAAATCAGTCAACATTAGGTATGTTTGCCACAGAGCAGGATGAAGTCTTACTTATACAAAACATCCACTGTCAATGAGGCCACCTGGTTCACAAAGCGGAGATACATGACCTTCTACAATATCTTCTGACATTCATGGTGTAGAAGGTTTCCTGGGGTAAACAAAGCTTTAAAAATGCAGTTGTTCAACTACGTTCTTCTCTCACAAGTACTCCTCTTCCAGTTATTTAAGACTGGAACGGTAGTAGGGGTCTTCTCTTTGTACAGAGTTAATCTTCTGAAAGCATTTCTTATTAGTACCAACTACCCTGGATGTTGAAATTGGGCATAAAGAATGTACTGCGCAAGAGATGTGTAGGAGAAGCAGCATTCTGGCCCCTGCTACCGCAGCCTGAAAATGACAATGAAATGAAATGACATACAGAGCTTCCCTTAAAGGACAGACTCAATGAATCAAGTACCAAAACTCACACATACCCAAGGTAGTCAGGTTTGAAAATGAAGTTCTGAGCATTTCTTAGCAAAACTTGGTTAAGACTGTATGCTAACAAATACTATTTTTCATTCCATTAAGTCAAAATATCCCCACGACAAGGGGGTGTCCGTGAAAGAGGGGGAAAGAGCTTGCGTGCCCTTGTGAAGTTGGGAGTTATGCTGGTGGTGTCTTATGCTTCTGGTAGGGTCTCCCATGCCAGTCAGCTCTCAAATGAAGGGTCAGACAAAGTGTGTCCATGGGCAGGATGGGCTCACTAGCCTTCAGGCAACCATCCTAGGAGAAGGACAACTCCAACTTCAAACCCGGGCAGATGGAGCTCGTGTAGCCCTGTAAGGCCATCCATCTAAGAGAAGGATACTCTAATTAAACCTACGACCTGAGGACTTTGCTGTCACCATCCAAGCTTGCTAGGCCCTGGCAGATAAACCTCAGGTGTAAAGGGTGAAGCCAGTTCTGCGCACGCTGTGCCTCACCTAAAATAAATCCACTGCGCAGGCCCGAAGGGTTTACCCACACTTGCAAAGCCCTGCAGCGACAGGCGAGGGACGAAACGGCAGGTGATAAGGTGCACTGGAAGTCGCAGACCCAACCCTGCATGCAGGCGGTTCAGGACATTGGTCGCTCAAGTCTGACCCAGGAGATGACAGTCTTGTTCGGCAGCATCCTGAATGACCAAGCAGCCTTTTTCAAGGACAGCACTGCTTGCTCCATATGGAGAGAGGCCTAGAAAAGGTGGCCTAACCAAAGCTCATCTCCCCCTCCACCTGGTTGGCTAGCCGCGGCCAACGGGCATCTTCTATTGCGGTCAATTAAAAACAAAGAGACAAAGGCATACACCTGCCTCCAAAGGTGTGTCCAGATTGACACTCGCATGTTGGAACATCAGAACCATGCTTGATACAGCGAACAGTGGGCGTCCTGAACGCCGTTCTGCGCTAATTGCCCATGAATTGTCACGTCTTAACATCGATATTGCTGCACTCAGTGAAGTTCGTCTTCATGAGGAAGGTAGCCTCAAAGAACATGGTGCTGGCTATACACTCTACTGGTCAGGCAAACCCAAAACTGAAAGTCATCTTTCTGGAGTCGGCTTCATGATTAAAAACTCCATAGCCTCTAAACTTGACAATTTGCTGATAGGTCATTCCGACCGTATTATCTCCTTACGTCTTCCACTACACAATAAGCAACACGTTGTTCTTTTCAGCATATATGCTCCAACTCTGCAAGCTGACCCTGCAGAAAAAGAAAAATTCTACTCCGACCTGCGTCACCTCACTCAGAAAGTTCCTATAGAAGATAAGATCATAATTCTTGGTGACTTCAACGCCCGAGTAGGAAAGAACTTTGAAGCCTGGAAAGGAGTACTAGGCAAGCACGGTGTTGGCAACTGCAATGATAACGGTCGTCTCTTACTAGAGTTCTGTGCAGAGCAACAGCTTACCATCACCAACACTATCTTCCAGCAGAAAGACAGCTGGAAGACAACCTGGATGCATCCTCGATCTAAACATTGGCACCTTATTGACTATGTTTTAGTGCGCCAGAGAAATATTCGTGATGTCTGCCAGACCAGAGTGATGCCTAGTGCAGAATGCCAAACAGACCACCGCCTTGTGTGTTGCAAACTTAATTTCCACTTCAAGCCCAAACCTAAGAGGGGCGGCATTCCAAGGAGGAGGCTCAATGTTGATAATCTTCAAATAGCTGCAGTGAGGGACAGCTTTTAGGCTAACCTTCAAACTAGGCTTGAAGACCAACTTATAGATTCTTCTCCTGAAGCGCTTTGGCAACGTATCAAAAACAGCATCCTGCAGTCCTCTGTAGAATCCATTGGGTTCTCCTCAAAGAAAAACAAAGACTGGTTTGACGATAGCAACCAGGAGGTCCAGGAATTGCTGACAAAAAAGAGATCTGCTCATCAAGCACACCTCGCTCAGCCACTCTGCCATGTAAGAAAAGCAGCCTTTCGTCTTGCATGTAGCAAACTCCAACAGAAACTTAGAGACATCCAGAACAAGTGGTGGCTCAACCTAGCAGAAAAGACTCAACTATGTGCAGATTTGGGTGACCACAGAGGATTCTATGAGGCTCTGAAGGCAGTGTATGGACCCACATTCCAGGTTCAAAGCCCCTTACTTGGTGCAGATGGCCAAACGCTTCTTACAGATAAAATCTCCATCCTGAATCGTTGGTCTGAACATTTTCAAACCCTCTTTAGTGCTAATCGTGTAGTCCAAGGCGAAGGAATCCAGCACATTCTGCAACATCCAGTGAAAAACGAATTGGATTTAGCCCCTACCATGGGAGAGACTTTTAAGGCCATACAGCAGGTGAAAACTGGCAAGGCAGCTGGGGTTGACGGAGTCCCATCTGAAATATGGAAGCATGGAGGCCAAGCACTCCACGCTAAATTTCATGAGCTAGTTGTGTGCTGTTGGGAACAAGGCAAAATACCGTCAGACTTTCGTGACGCAATCATCGTCACTCTGTATAAGAAAAAAGGTGTCAAGTCAGACTGCTCAAACTACCGTGGTATAACTCTGCTCTCCATTGCTGGTAAAATTCTTGCAAGAATACTGTTGAACAGACTAGTACCTGCTATCGCAGAAGAACTTCTACCTGAAAGTCAGTGTGGTTTCAGGGCTAATAGAAGTACCACAGACATGGTATTTGTTCTCAGACAATTGCAAGAAAAGTGTAGAGAACAGAATAAGGGGTTATACGTAACTTTCGTTGACCTCACCAAAGCTTTTGACACTGTGAGCAGGAAAGGCTTGTGGCTGATCTTAGAACGATTAGGTTGTCCCCCCAAGTTCCTGAAAATAATCATTCTGTTACATGAGGATCAGCAAGGCCAAGTCAGGTATGGTGATGCACTATCTGAGCCTTTCCCAATAACCAATGGTGTGAAACAAGGTTGCGTTCTCGCACCGACCTTATTCACAATCTTCTTCAGCATGATGCTCCAAAGGGCTACAGCAGACCTCGACGAACAAGACGGCATTTATATTCGATATCGTACCGATGGTAGCCTATTCAATCTAAGGCGACTGAAGGCCCACACTAAGACCCTAAACCATCTTGTCCGTGAACTGCTCTTTGCTGATGATGCCGCCCTTGTTGCCCACAC